ACGTTGGTACCTTGTTTTTTGCCTTGTTTTACCAAGATTTGAGAAGTTACAATGAGTTGCTACCCAATTTGTTCTCTCCAGATTTGAGAGGTTACAGTGAGTTGCTACCCGTTTTTGCTTTTCCTCTCCAGATTTGAGAGGTTACAATAAGTTGGTACCCGTTTGTGTTTGTTTTTCTCCCCCGATTTGAGAGGTTACTATAAGTTGGTACTCGTTTGTTTTTTCTCTCCAGATTTGAGAAGTTACAATAAGTTGGTACCCGTTTGTTTATATATATTTTTCTCCCCAGATTTGAGAGGTTACAATAAGTTGGTACCTGTTCTTTGTCTTTTTTTGCCTTGTTTTATCGAGATTTGAGAGGTTACAATAAGTTGCTACCCGAGTTGTTCTCTCCAGATTTGAGAGGTTACGATGAGTTGCTACCCGTTTTTGCTTTTCCTTTCTATCCAGATTTGAGAGGTTACAATAAGTTGGTACCTGGTTGTTCTTCTTCCTTTTTTCCTCCAGATTTGAGAGGTTTCAATAAGTTGGTACCCGTTTCGTTTTTATCTTTATTTGTTTCTCCAGATTTGAGAAGTTACAATAAGTTGGTACCCGCCTTTTTTCCCTCTCCAGATTTGAGAGGTTACAATAAGTTGGTACCCGTTTTGTTTCTTCCCAGATTTGAGAGGTTGGTACCCGTTTTTGCTTGTTCTTTCTATCCAGATTTGAGAGGTTACAATAAGTTGGTGCCCGGTTTTTCCTGCTTCTTTTTTGTCTCCACATTTGAGAGGCTACAATAAGTTGGTACCCTTCTTTTTTTCCAGATTTGAGAGGTTACAATAAGTTGGTACCTCTTGTTTTTTTCTATCCAAATTTGAGAGGCTACAATAAGTTGGTACCCATTTCTTTTCCTGTTAGTCTCTCTCTCTTGCTCCCGCTCTGAGAGTCAATGCTCGCAGCGAAAACCCCGTGAAACTAAAACTCTGCATTGCCATCGTTGTGATGACAATGCGCAACCCACCTGCTGCGCACCTGCCTGATAAAGGCGACTGCAAGAGCCATCGAAAGGGAGGCCGTGGCATTCGGAAACTGCCCTTTGAGGTGCGACCTAAACTGCGTTGGCACCTCAAATTGGTCAAAGGCATGTCTGAGATCTGGCATTTGGATGGACAGCAAGGAAGTTGGTGGGGCATGATGACTCCCCGCGTGCCATTGCTGCACATTCTTACTAGCCAAAAGCCAATTCAATTGGAGAATTTGCCTCGCATTGACCGAATGAGGGTGCTCGAGTACAGCGGAAATTCCAGAAGCCACGCATGCTGCCAGCAGTGCAAAAGTGTTGAAGAAATGCTTGTTGCCAACAAGAAATTGCTCCAAACCTTTTTGGGTCAGTCGCAGACCACGACACAAGATTTGGGTCCAAGTTTCCTGCGGCGGGTTGGCTAGTAGACCTAGGAAACCTTTACACCCTCAATAATGCTGGTCTCTTTGACATTGGCAGTGTGTCCCCTGTATAGTCTATTTTAGTAGGGGAACCCTTCCCCAAAAAAGGGGAGAGAAGGGCACGACTATTGGGGGACCTAGAAGAGCTCAGCTTTTTTTGGGCAACCAAAACATTGTTACCACAAAGATGAAGCTTAAAGGTCCAAACTGCGAGCCGAGAACGAGCTTGAAAAAAGCCGAGAAACGGCAGCCTGGAAAACTCTTCGCAGTAAAACTCATTGCACCTTGCGAGCCATGTTGTTTCGTGTGTTTTAATGTGGTGACTTGACTTTATTGGAACAAGTTTAGACAAGAAGACGGATTGGACTTGCAGTATGGATTGTTTGGTGCGATCTGGTTGGGCTGGGATTGGTTTGAAGAAACCTTGAGTCTGAAGCCTTGGATTGATTTCAATGTGGCTCTCATTCGTTCCTTCACCAGGATTGCGAATCTGCATCATGTGTTTGACACAGGCAAGCTTGGGAGGTGCCCTGTTGATCTTCGCAGCTAGGGCGGAGCTGCAAGGAGCCTGTCAACTTGAGAAATCCTAGATGTGCGAGTTGCTCCAAGGGATAGGCGGATCCAAGACACACGACTCTCACGACTGGCGAGAAAAGCGTTATTCAACCAGTTTCCAACAGTAGGACATGTCCCGAAATCCATCTTGATGGCGGTCAACATGTTGAACGTCTTTACTCCCCCCATCAGAGGCGGCAAGACTCCGAATCATGTCCCAAATGGGCCGAAATCTAAGTGTTTGACACACCACTCCCTCACACAACGCCAAATGTGTCTTCTTTAAAATTTGCCCTTGAGCTCCATAGTAACATATCCACAGTGAGCTCGCCAAAGAACAAACGCTGGCTTTCCAACTCAGGGCTAGTCCAACAAGCACAGCAGTATAACATATTGTCTCAAGAGCGGGGAATCAAGAGAAGCTGTTCAAAAAGGGCGCGAAGGAAACGCAAAAAGGCAGAACCATGTAGAACCTCTTGACAACTGGGGCGAATCCCACTTTCAGTATGGAGGGAAGGCTCTTGCAAAGAATCTAGCAATGCTTCTCCGGCTTTCGATGGCCAACATGCAACAAGCTTCCAAACATTGAACGCACATGTTCAAAGGCCTTCACGGCCCTCAAATTATTGAATGTATCCTCATCGATGAACCTGTCGCGACAGTGTCAATCTTTTGACCCTCTTTTAGGGAAAGCGAAGGGACCGATCGGGAAGTCAGTTGTGTCACTCTGTGGCCTTCCAAAGGCAGTGCTGTTGCCTCTCAGCCTGATCAACATTTTGAAGTGGCATGCTGCACCTATTTTGAAATGAAGAGGACACAGTCATGCGTCAAATCATCTTGGAGCTTGCATGAATATGCATGAATACTCGGTCATCTGACCGTGCCAGGCTCTGCTGCCCTCCCTTGTGGTCAGAGCCAGTTTGCGCAGAACCCGGCCTGACCCTTCTTGGACTTCTTCTCGGACTTGCGCTCCCTTGGATGGACACTTGGCAAAAGGCCCCGGTGTTTTGCCCTGTGGCCGCTGGACGTGGCAATACACATGTGCTTGCAAGCAGCCGAAACATATAATATGACTCACCTGATCGCCCAGGATGCAAATAGCGAACCGTCTCTGCAAGCAGGCATCTCATTGGAAAAGATGTGAGTTTCTACAAGGCAACACATGTTGTTGTGTATTTCCACTTTGGATCGAGAACCTCCTCCGGATTAAATAGAGTGGTGCGCATAGTTGGGAAATGATCCATACATGCTAGCATATGCATTCATCGCCTGCATAAGGATCTTTGCGTTAAACTCGGCCTGCGCAATAAATAGAAAGAATTCCAGTCTTCTAGGCGCCTTGCGACATATGGCCATTGTGATGGATGATTGGCACATACCGCTCTCAACATTTGCAAGCCACTTAGAGCTGTTCAGCTTCGCTTACACTATACATGAGCCACGGACCATAGTATCTGCTCCCAAAAAGATGTCTCATGTCGGCATATTGAGTGGGGCCGGTTGCTGACATGCCACGGCCACGCCATCAAACTTGTACATGGCCGGCTTTGGGTTCCAGCACTCGGAAACCCGACATGTTGTACGACTTGGCGCAATGAGTACCATCAAGATGAAGCGGCCGAAGTATGAGAAATGTGGACAGCCGGCAAAGGCCAGCTTTCCCTTAAGGGGCAGTGGACAAACTGAGGTCCGTTCCACGAAGTAGCCAGCTATGACAAGCTGCCCAGAAAAGCTTCGGCGGGAAAACATAAACCATCGTATAACCCTTTTGCATCCTGGCTTTACAATGGCCTAGAGTAATTTTCTCGGTTGCTTTCTGCTCCCCTGCTAAAAGTTTAACCTTTGCGGAGTTTAGTGGAAAACCCCTTGATTTCCCAAAAGGTTAAAGCTTTTAGCTGGAAGGACATGGTGTGCAGTGTCCCGTGGCCGACCAAGCAGAAATGAGCAAACAGCTTGACCTTCATGGATGTGCACCTTACGGATGTACGGACCCAAAGCAAAGCAAATGAGGCCTATGATGCGGAGTTCTTTCGACACGGAATGGACTTGGCCCGCTGCTCTGGCATCCTGGCAGCGCAAATCGGATCAAGCCTAGCGGCCTAGCGCTCGACGTTCAACTGATTTGGGAAGTTGGAAGAAGGCATTGCCGGTTCCACTCTCCAGGCCAAATGAAAAAATACAGCAAAACGCCTTGTCTCTGGAAAGCAGGCATGGAATTCCTGCCAATCAAGCTTCGGGCGCGCACAAGTTTCTACCCAGGGGAGGGGAACATAATAGTGGTGTGCCACTCTAGGGGAGTCTCTTGTGTGGTCTCAAGCCACCCGACATCATGGGGCAGAAAGGCTGCAGCCCCCTCCTTAAAAATTGGAACTTTGTGACTCCACCCAATTCCATGAGCTGGAGGGCATTTCGTCCGGGAGGGGATTTCGTCCGCATGGCAAGCAAGCACTTGGCTTCTGCAGCCTCCTCTGGAAAGTCCGCTCAGCCAACATCTCTCATCTCCTCCTTTCCGCGGGTTGGCCCTGTGTGTTTCCCACTAATATGGTCTTCCCAAAAGGTATCAAGTCCAGAAACCGGCAGCAAACAAGACGTTTTCTCTTGCAACCATCTAGCGGGTTACCCTGCAAATGGCTTGCTGATTTCCTTTTGCATTCATATTGACATCATCCCGAATAGACTTCAGAATGTTGAGACCTGCCCCACTCCCTAGGCCAATGATTGACCTGTGTACTCGTTCGCACTCCATTCAAAGTAGTCTTCCCTGGGCGTTGGATTTGGAGATCGCTTGAAAGCGCACTTCCCATCCTGGGAGAGCCTCGCCTGTAGGCGAGAGAAGCTGCCTCAAGGCGCCTCTGCGACGCTAACGCGACGCTGATGCTACGTTGATCCGACGCGAGGACGAGAGCGAAACGGCAGGGTAAAACAACCCAAAAGCGATCAGCACCAATGTCAGATATAGTGACCCTGCGTGGGTTCTGATGCTAAAGATAAATCATGCAAGCTGGAAACCGTTTGTTTGAACTCATTCTGGGTCGCAGGAGTCTGGTCCGCTTGTCACGCCAACGTGGGACGCCCATGTCGAGTCTTTTTGCCACTCCAAAGAAGTACGACTCCAGCAGCCAAACAAAGTCAGCCGAAAGCTTCTTTGCCAAATCATGGTCAAAATAATGAGATCATTACTGGCCTTACGCGTCGCGCTAGCACCCATGCGGCGACGCTCCGTGCACATGTTTGATAAAGGACAGCCCCGGGGTGACATCGTGAGTATAAGGGCACTTCGTGCAAAGGATCTAGCTCTATGAGACATGGCCAAGCGCAGGTCTGAAACTCTGCCCGCGGGGTCTGACCCTTCTGGCCCTCGGGAAATATAGGGAACCCTTGAGGATCTTGAAAGCGTCAAACGTTGGTTGCCCATAGGCACAGAAGGTAAGCGCACTGTTTCCTGCCTCCATGCCTTTCAAAGCCCGGTAGGCAGAAGCAAATCTTTGTATCCGGTGAGCAGCCATGGTTTCGTGGCCCCAGAAACTGCCTTCAACCCAAAGCTCACATCCCAGGTTTACTGAGGCACCAGGCTGCTGTTCTCTTGGCGACCACATCCAATCCTGCGTCGGCACTGGCAAGCAACACACACGCACAATCAAACGAGTTAAGTGTTTACATATTTGGTTGATATAACTATGTATAATATATATATATATATGTATACATTTATAGCTACATAATGTTGACAAGGAGTCTCATCCGCAAACCCAAACAGTATGGTTGGTCTGGGGGCCTGAGCTTGGCCGCTTTGGACAAAGCTTCTGCTCGTTCACAGCCCCGCCCATCCCTTGGTCTCATAAAAAAGAGACGCCTCGCTGATCGCATGGAATTCAAAGACGGGATGGGATAGTGGCGCTTGCAAGGTCAGCTATTTATCTTCATTGCCGCCTAGTGTCGTGCTCGACCTGTTCCGCACACGGCCAAACTTGGACGACCCTTTGCGTCAACTGCATGAACAAGGCTTCCATCCGACAACATGGATGGTAGCAAGCCAGCAGTAATACAAGTCAAAGCCCAAAACGAACAGAGGATGATAGAACATGGAATATATACTTTAGAGCTGTTGTTCACTTATACGATCTTCACATGATGCCATCTCTATCCTTCTATATTATATATTCACTATACTAAATACGAGTATTGAGTACATTATGATATAACGCTTATCATAGTAGGCCCAATGGGAAAATAGCAGGAAGACAAAACCAACTACTGTACTAAATATGTGCGTTCCAGCATTAATATGTTCAATCTCCACATTTGAGTACTTTCATCTGTTGGGTTTATCAGGGTATCGCAAAATTGGGGTCGCACACCTGCACCTGATGAATCAGGACCACGGACAAGCTGGGCTACTATGGGTTGGGTCATGGTCCCAACCCAAAGCTGGGCGGCTACCGTTTTTGCCATCACTTGTCCTTCATACCTTCCATGATCTATGCGAATAACGAAATCCTTCCACTCAAATGATTCCAACAGCTCTACGCACGGCTGTCCAACTCACCCACCACTTCCTAGGCCTCAAATGATTCCAACAGCTCTACGGCTGTCCAACTCACTGCACCAAACCTCTGTCCCCGCCTTTGCCACTTGTGAAGCTCTGGAAGGCAAGGGAAGGAAATGGCAATGGGCCAAGCAGCAGCATCCAAATGACATGCATGCATGCGGTTCCGCCAGCCAGGCGATGGCAAGAACAAAACTGACACCTGCAACTTAAGTAACTCGAACTTGAGATGTTTGAAGGAACACGGCCATTGGAAAGGGGATAACGGTTAGCACCATTTACTACCGTGCAGCAGATATCAGCGCGTACTTTCGCTGGAGATTGAATCTATCCAAGCATGGCAGGAAAGCCAGCTACAGCCAGCTTCCGCCAAGTCAGGCAGAAGCTTGGTCGAGCTAGAAGAAGCCAAGTCAAGAGAAGTAAAGCCAAGTTCATGCGAGCATTGTCCAAGCCTGCTGACATGTCAACATCCGGCTCAATGCACGAAGCTTCAGCCTGACAGACAATAGCTTCAATCTGAGTTTAAAGGGTAAACCAACTAGGAGATCAAACATCTCAGAGGAAAGATGCGAACAAACACAACCCTTTCACAGCTTCCAGGACATTTGCAAACAATGGCCAACGTAGAAACGCATCGAACGCGCTCCTCAACTGCCGACAAGCACCTGAATTATCTACGCTTAGAACCTTCTTCAGGCTCCGACATGTGTGCCACTCTCAAGACAGGTTGATCACAAATACTCAGCATGTCCGCTTGGCTGCAGGTTACAACATGTCCGCCTCTAGAAAGATCTGAATTTCTGCAGGCCGATAGTTGCACAACTGAATGAGCAGACCAAACACGCAAGCCTCAAGTTCAACCTCAAAGCACTGGACAAAGAATAGGAATATGCCGCTAATATTGCGAATTCTGACATTGACGAATGTGCAGGTTTTGTAAGCGATACCCCAAGGTCTGACAGAGCGCTTTTTTCCTTCGTGGTTTCTGGAGGACTTGCGCGGCAAGCAGCGAGCTATTGGGAACTGTGCCTCGTTTGTGGTTTTGCAAACATGTGTTGAGACGTGTCAACATAGGCTCCAATCTGTGATGGCATGTTGTGTCTCTTTGCTGAACATCTCTGGAAAGGAAATCTTGATTTGTGGTAGGTTTACCGGTACTTCTCTTTAAGTACAGTCCAACAAGTGTGTTCTCGGGACACGCCTACAAAAGGTGTTGTAGCACAACTTTGGTGCCCTCATGGGTATCCTTCTCAAAGTGGGTGGCCGCAGCCATAGAACTGGCGTCGCACAATTAAAACTGTGCTGGCCTAGCGGTCGGCTGGCAAAAATCGCAACAAAGTCCCCAGTGGCTTGTAAACACCTCTGTCAGTCAGCAAGTCACTTTTATGTGTCAACCCCAATGTATTGCAGCCTTCACAATTGGTAAAGACCACTTAGTCCCCTCGCGCCAGAGTCTCAAAGTCCTGATGATCGAAAGGCAAAGTATGTTCAAGCTGTCACCAAGTCCGCTCTTGTGCTACCGTCACCCTGTGACGCGGCTGCAGTGAGACTCTTGCGGATGAGTAACCTACAACTGACTCACAATCAACACCTCACCTAGTCGACTAAAATCCCTGTAAAGAACCGACAGAGCGGCGGCACTTATCCATAGTTGGGACTGTTCCCTACTAACCTTCTACCCAGGTGTTGATTGTGGCTCAACTGCACCAGCTGCCAGGATGAGGTCGTGTCCCGCTGGCCACTGCATGCAGCTGCCATCGATTCTTGAGGCATTTATTACGCTGGGGTCTGGTGGGGGCTGGGAATTTCGAGGGACCCGCTTGATGCTTCAGGAAAATGACCACCCATGGTGTTGTGTTCTGGTCTACATGGCTGTCTAGTTCGCCCGAGTCAGTCATCTAGTTTGTTCAAATCAGCCCACCCCAAGAATACAAATCGTTTGCTCATTTGCCCACCTAACCAATAAACGTACAGCTTACACTTCCTACATCATTCACTTGACAATGCCAAGTGGCAATGGATGGCAATGGGGAACACAGAGGACAACCATGTTTATATATCTATACAGTATACATATGGAACCTCACTAAGTACAGGAATCCTTCTATAGTGTTACTTTTGAGCACCATGTTGGATCTTAGGACCCTCGCCTTGAGTCTTGAGGGCACCGGTGCTAAGAGGCCTCCAAGACTGGCGTTCCTTGGCTGGCTGGAGACGAGGCCCATCTGCCTCACGCTGGCAGGCAGGCAGGCCGAGCATCACTCGTGAGCCTGCGCGAGCGTGCACTTCCTTGCCGCCCCCGGAGCCAAAAGCCAGCTAGCTGCTTTCCATGGGTGGCACACTTTAAAACAATCTCCTTTAAGCCCATAAAGCGACACCTCACAAAACAGAGTGTGTCAACATAATCGACCCTTCCACATGCTCAGCGATGTTAAGTTTGCTTTTGGTTTCCTTTTAAATCCGACCCCGACACATTCCCATCTAGATTGGTCCAAAATCAAAACGGATTGCACAAGGCGCCTGTTTGAAGCGCATCTGCATCTTGATCTTCGCGCTGTCCTCATGGGCTCGCACAACTGTACTACGCACCAAACACGGACGCCGTGCCCCTTGAAACAGACCGTTGGTCCAAGGAGGAATCCCAGCAACTGTCAGTGGGGCTTTGAAATGGTTGAGGGTGTGTGTGTGTGTGGGTGGGGGGGGGGGGGGGCTAGGGGATTTATGGGCTGCGGGCCGGGTAGACATTGCTTGTTGTCGTGCAACCAAAAAGAGAGTGGAAACAGCGCCAAGCACTGCTGTGATTACGCGGCAGCCAACTTCAGGTTGCCGCAAATTCAAACTCACGAACCTTTCAGCATACAACAACCAATGGCAACCAAATCTAGAACCTGAAGGTGAACATGCAAACTGCAAGGGCCACGAGAACGCATTCCTCAAACGCACATACTGAGGCAGAATAAACATCCTGAATGCTGCTTTGCGGAGTTCCTTGCTTGGCTGCAAACTCCACTGCAATTAAAGCATCCGCCGTGCTCCAGACATGATGAACAAGTATGGCATTGAAAAAAAACACTCAACCACCGAACCGGAGATCCGCTTGTTTGGAGGATCCTAGCCATATATGTTCCAAGTGTCCAGCGCCCTGTTCCAATCCTTTCTGACAAACTTACACCGTGGCGATTCCCTTCCATAGAGACAAACTCAAACAACAAACTTTGCCTGTGCATTTTACAAACGGAGCCATGCCACGGGAATCACAGCAATGCTGCATCCCACAAGCATAGCCCCAAAGCAGAACAAGCCACCCGAAAGATCTATGCTTCGCAGCTTTGCGCATGTCAAACAAACAATATTCGTCAACGGGCAACATGGGAAAACAAAGCTCGCCAGGCACATGACTACTAACACAAGCCGGCTGAGCTGACAGCAGAGGCCGCCTACTGTAGCCCAGCGGTCAGCCCAACCGTTTGGTACTTAAAGCCAGCAATAACGTAGATCAAGTTGCTGTGATTGCCTGGATTCCCACGGATGCCAAGCATTGACAAAGCTCCTCCCGGGAAAGACAGCTCCGGCAACACGTGCTTGCTTCGCTTTCTGAGCTTTGGTGTGCGTGTGTGTGTGTGTGTGTGATTTGTAGCATGCGTGCAATAACTCAAGCGCCTCCGCTTTGGTGGTTTGACCTTACCAAAACACTGGTTCAGATTTGCCTCGAAGCAACGAAAGCAAGATGCAACGCATTCAAACTTGAAGCTTCCAACAGCCCACTTCACACGTCCAGCGTCTCCATACCTTCACACCATAGCCCGCTCCTGCCGCGACAGGGACTTGGGGTCCAGGACGTTGGGGATGAGCTCTGCGCCTGGGAGCAAACCGAAAGATGGCGTCAATCCTCTGGAGGGTCCATGGCATAGCTGCACCCTCTGGGCCTGATTCATGTTGGAATCATATACATATATATATATATTGTGGATTTAGCTGATATCAGTCGGACACCCCTGGCATCCCCTTTCCACCCCAACCCCGGGTGCCCCGGGCTCATGGAAGTGTTGAAGCCGATGCCGGCACGCTCCATGTTCGCGGAGCCGACAAAGCTGCCGTCCACGTTCATGCAGGCCTCCAAAACCGAAACTGGTAGACAATATCAAAAACTCTCCCGGTGTTTATAAAAATGTCTGTGGGTTGGGTTGTATATATTCTAATACTAAATAATTCTCAATTAATCAAGCTTATTCTGCTTTGTTAACATGTTAAGACGCACCTGCAGTTGTTGAAACAGCTTGCTAGACCAGGGTTTTGGTATTTGAGCCAACTCTGCCATATGGCTGTGGCTCAAAAAGGCACCTTGGTACATGGAACCAAAGAACTAAACCCTGGGTAACCCCAGCTCTTGTATTTTGACCCATACCCATGTCCTGCTGCTGTTTTTTTTTTTTGGGCGGAGCTTGCTTGGCCCGGCACTTCAAAGAGCACAACGGGCCAAACCGCTCAGCAAAGGGCACATCGTCCAAGTCGGAGGAGGCACAGTCCACGTCAAACCGGGCTGGTCAAAAACAAACCGCGATTTTGCCTTGAGGTCCTTGGGCCTCTTTTGGAGCTCAAGGTTGCTGGGACAATCCGGCTTAGCGACTGCTGTCTCCTTACAATCTAATGGCCTGGCCAGCCTGCCAACTTCCAGGCCTTGCAGAATGAGATTGGCCGAGCTTCTAGCATTGATCTTCAGACACGAGGCAAGCAGAATAAATACAGCCGGATAATGGCCTAAACTTTACTAACTACTGGATTAATTATACTGTTCATCCGGAATCATGGAGGTCGAAAAATCCCATGTGGCTGATGCATGCCTCACTGCAACTGCATACATGCCGCACATGGCTGCCACTGCATCCTTGAAGGCACCAAGTGGCACTAAACTAGCAAGATTGGTCAAAACGCTTTGAGCTGGCCAGCCTTTGGCCAGCAAACGGCAAACGCAGGGCGTGCGTGCGTGGAAGCGTGCGAGCATGCAGGCGGGCAGGCGGGCAGGCGGGCGGGCGCGCGGGCGTACCCCTGCACGGGCGCGAGGGCATGCGGGCGCGTGCGTGCGTGCATGTGTGCATGCATGCATGGGTGGTTGGTTGGATGGGTGGGTGGGCGGGTGGGTGGGTGGATGGGTGAGTGGCTGGGTGGGTGGGTGGGTGCATGCATGGGTGGTTGGTTGGGTGGGTGGGTGGGTGGGTGGGCGGGTGGGTGTTTGCGTTGGTGTGTCCATGTCTCTCTCTCTCTCTCTCTCTCTCTCTCTCTCTCCTGCTGCGCATGATTGTGTGTGTAGGTGCTTGCTTTGAGAAGTCCGTCAGGTGAACAACATGTTTCTGCCTGTAGAAGGTGAGGGACGATTGATCTGGGCACATAGCTGATCATGGCAGTCAAGCGAGACAGAATGGTCTACCTTGGTGGGGAGGGAATCCTCAATTTGCAAATATTCAGGGCCCGCGAGTGCGGCAAAATGTCATGGCACCGTTGCCCAGAATGCGGCAACGTTGGCGGGTTCCTCTCGCACTCGCAAGTCTTTGTTTTTGAGCATATGATGATTCCACCACACCTATACCCTTTAAAGGTTTATGTCACCAAGCTGTTGTGTGTAGCTCACTCACCAGGTCTTGGGCTTGACGTTTTTGCTACACTATTGTTGCCACTCAAACAAGTTGCTGTCTAAACAGAGAATATGTTCTTTCGACACTTACCGCACATACAATTGAATGAGTGAAAGCCATTAGTTACATTAGGCATCCGAGAGAAATAACAAAACAAACGATGCAGAACGCAATGCAGCCATACGCGACAAGCTGCATTGTGCTGGACCTATTGCGCATAATGGATTTGATCCGACAAGATACTGTTTGTAGGCATGCGCCTCGCCATCCTGAAAACGCAATCCTCGAAGAATCTCGCCAAAGCACATTCAAAATGTCTTGCTTCTGGAAAGCTCATCAATAACTACCTTCTTGATCTGGTGCCACTGCTACGGCCAGATCGCGATTCATCCGCTTGTGCCAAACCTAGGCTGTTTCAACAACACCGCCCCCTCCCTCACTCGGAGTCGCCGCTCCCAAGTCCCTGCGCCTCTCGTTGTGCTTCCTGTGGCAAGCGCAATCAACGACCAAGCGTGCTGAGAGGCCCGACGCAAAAACATCAACTGAGAGGGCTGCAGGGAACGAGCGGTTTACACATGCTCGCAAACATGCTTTAACAACAGAGATGTTGCAACCCTGCCTTTCAAGCATCACCCTTGAAATAGCTGTTCCATGGGTCTCAAGCAAGAAGTAGCATGTTGGTCACATGATGTGTTTGGGTGGTGGGGGGGGAGGGGGGCGTCATTTAATACTTTTCCCACTCATCCCTCTGAAAAGGTTGTGACCTTCTTCTAAGGACTTCTTAGAATCGGGGGCTCGCACACACAACAAAACACCATGCCGCAAAAGCCAGCACTACGCCCAAAGCTTCGCACAAGTTGCGCGCTGCCAAAGCAAATGCCTCGAGAACACATCTGAAGCTTTACTATGCCGCGAAGGCAGGTAGCCGCTGTCAACTCCCAGATCCGGCTTGCCACTTTGGGCCCCCGTCCCTCCCTTCACTCAGAAAACACAAGTAAAAGAAACAGAAACAGCCGGCAAAAGCAAACGCGAGGACGGCCAGCCATCATCTCTATTGACTCACACACCACCTTCATTTGACCCACGTCAAACAAAGTCAGCGAAGCATGCTAATGCAGGATCTAGTGGCATAATATGGGGAGCAAGAGCATTCCTGGAAAGTTAGTCAAACAAGAGCATCACCACCAATGTCTCCAACATTGCTTGCCAAAACGGCAGAACAAACATGAACTGAACCCAAAACCCTTCAAGATCAAAAGGGTTAAATGAAGCCATTGGTTGGGTGAACTCCCTAAAGATGATGCCTGAGGTCTTCCGCCCGAATGAGCAAATCTTCTGACCTGTACGTTCCAGCAACAGTCTCACAGAAGTTTCTAAACGACCCTACCGCTTTTTGGATGTTGGGGTCCACGTGGTTGCCCAAAAGAGCGTCGCAAGGGAATCTACAAGTTTGATCCCTGAGAAAACATAATTAATGCCAAACTTCTAGCTTTGTCGTATTACCATTTTTGGTCACTTCTAGCTTTGTCATTCATGAAACATAATTTGACATTATGCCAGACTACTACTACTACTACTACTACTACTACTACTACTACTACTACCACTACTACTACTACGACTACTACGACTACTACGACTACTACGACTACTACCACCACTACTACCACTACTACCACTACTACCACTACGACTACGACTACGACTACGACTACTACTACTACTACTACCACTACGACTACGATTACTACTACCACTACGACTACGACTACGACTACGACTACGATTACTACTACTACTACTACTACTACGACTACGACTACGACTACGACTACGACTACTACTACCGCTACGACTACGACTACGACTACGACTACGACGACTACTACTACTAGAACAACAACAACTACTACTACTACCACAACTACTACGACGACTACTATGACGACTACTACTACGACTACGACTACGACTACGACTGCTACTACTACGACTACTACTACTACTACTACTAGTACTACTACCACTACGACTACGACTACGACTACGACTACGACGACTACTACTACTAGAACAACAACAACTACTACTATACCACGACTACTACGACGACTACTACGACGACTACTACGACGACTACTACTACCACTACGACTACGACTACGACTACGACTACGACTACTACTACTACTACCACTACGACTACGACTACGACTACGACTACGACTACTACTACTACCACCACTACGACTACGACTACGACTACGACTACGACTACAACTACTACTACTACTACCACTACGACTACGACTACGACTACGACTACTACTGCTACTACGACTACTACTACTACTAGCTTTGCTATTCTCTAGATTGGTCCTTCCTTTGAGCTTCGGAGCAACCGGAGCGAGCCATAGATCCCCTGGTCGCGGCTCGCCTGCACCGGCATGTCCACACGCTGTGCCTCCACCTCCGCGGCGATACGCTCGGCCTGGCCGGCGCTCGGTGGCCAGCTTGTTGGCATCAAAGGAAGGGCAAAACAAGCCATTGCCCTTTTTTGGGGAACCCTGTGAGGGAAACCCCATTGACGGTAGATGTCACGCGTTGGCAGTGAAAAGGTGGTGGCTGGCGGCAGTGGCTGGGGGGAGGCAAATAGCCTTCAGAAGGTGGCGGTGAAACAGGTAGGGTGCGGCTGTGACGTGGCTTGATGGTCAGGGCGCTGGTTGGCGGTTGCGTGTTGGTGGTGGCTGCTGGCATCGCGTGCAATTGAGGTGGCGATGAATTGTCGCGGTGGTGATCGTTGCGAAGGTGTTGATGGGACTTTCGGCGCGGGGAAATAAACACACGTGGTGCTTCATTCTTAAAAGGCCACAGTAAAACCAACTTCACAATCAGCACATGTGTTTTTTCCAGCATATGAATGCAAGGAAGTGAATTTGAGTGTGAATGAAAACAGCCGAAATGGCCACAGTTCCAGCAGTCCGGTTGCAGGCTGCACTGGTGCCCTGCACACCTGCAAAATACATGTCAACGCCGGCAAGCAGAACATGGGCTCGAATTTCTCGGCAGGTAGCACCGTCGGCTTTGTGGGAACCCCAAATAATCATAGACATGTTGAACAAACCTCAGGCTGTTCAAAATGGAGGCTTGGCCAATCCGAATTTCCAATCCTCCCGAAAAGGGAATCCAATTCACCGCCATTTCAGTGAATTCAATGTGACTTTGACCATTCATGGAGTCTAAGCGGACCCTACCCATGTAGAGTAGACACACAATGAGGGCTTAAAAGGTCTGGTACTTTTGCCAGGCGCCTTCTTGGGGAGCACAACATGCCAGAAATCCATGAAGGAATCCCTCCTGGGTCAGCTCACAGCTCAGTGGGGGGTGGCTTCTGGGATCTGGGTAGTGAGCCTATGTTTCTGCTTACACATATGCACATATGGTTGCCTATGCACACGCATATGTGCATAATTATATATACATATATATATATATATATATATATATGTACATGTGCATATCTTTACGGTACATATACATAATTGGGAATCTATGCGAATATATTCATGTGTGTGCATACATGATTTATTGGAGGCAGTGGTTTTGGAGTAGTGACAACTCCTTGGATTTCTGAAGAAGCGCCTCAACAATCTTCTCAAACTTGTTGACCAAGGTATCGATGGCAGCACCGCCTGATGCAGCCGGGCAGGCTGAGCAATGCTAACCGACTGAGCAAAACATGCAACCAACGTGTTGACTGGATGTGTCACGAGTCAAAGTGCGTACTAACATGAGTTTTGCGCGTTGGTTCTCCCATGTTCTCCCAACAACTCCATTTGAAACGTTGAGTACCTGTGCCGCTTCAGACATGTTTCTTGAATTGACGTCTGGCCTCAAGCGTGTCTTTGAGTCACAGAAGTCTCAGCCGCCAACGTGTACCGTGCTCAACACATCGATGGAGAAAAAGTCAAAGCATATCAGGAGCAAAGTGCCACCTTGTCATGCTGGTCACTGGTCCAAATTTGTCTCTCCTGATTTCTGGGCGGCTGAACGTTAAACTCATCCTTCGCTCACGCCATTTAAAGTAGGCTCCCCTAAACACTTAGGGAGTTGGATTGTGGGGAGTATGTCCAATGTCTTCACACCTTGCTGGGCTTGCTAACATGGGTCTCCGTCATGGTAAAGGAAAACAGGGCCGAACCAATTTGTAATCTGAATTGCGCACGTCCAGCAGTTTACCTGTATTGCAAGTGTACACGACACAATCCACAGACCATGTGAAATTTCAGGGTCCCCATATTTACTACGTGCAAGCTTAAACAAACCTAGGTCCTCCGGTAGAGAGGTTAGAATAAGGGTACCCTGTTTTCTGTAGCCTATTTTAGTAGGGGAACCCTCCCAAAAAAAAAGGTTAAAGGGCACTACTGAGGGACCTAGAAACAATAAACGCATGTTCAATTGTTTTGTCTCCGCATCCAATCCCATGTCGTGGGCGCTACAAAAAGATCCCACAAGCAACAGCCCGCCCCGTGCGTAACCGCAGCACAGGGAACCCCGTTCCAGGAGAGAAAACATCCGCAAAGCACAAAAACTAAAACAGCCTCAAGCAGGTTCTGCCTTTTCCTGGCAGCTGCCAAAGAAAGGGCCCAACGGTTCGCCAAGGCATCAATATCACTTGGGTCGCAGAAGCAATAAAGTTTGAATAGTTTAGGCCCGGACTGTCGCTGTGCTTCTTCCTTCTCTCTTCAGCGCGGTCCTGCCGTGCAGCTCCCTGGAAAGGACATCAAGCGATACTTCCCAGCGAAACAACAGCTACAATTGCTGGACAACTTCTATTGACTTGCTTCAGGAATGGCGAAGTCTGCCAACCACCAAAGACTGCAATCAAGAGAGCCTGGTCATTGAATACCTACTACTCGGCCATTGCGATCTGATTTGATCTACCAGCAACACTGCGCCAAGAAAGTGCGGGGTGGGCTTCTTCTTAGGTTTCTTTTGGACGGGTACTAAACGGGGCTCCCCTATTATGTTGGGAACACCGGAATCTTAGGGACGCACTCATTTAGTCTGGTGTGCCTATTTCGGGGCTAGGGCTATCCAGCCAATATATCGCTATTTGGGCACGAGCTCCGGCCCAACATCGCCAGGAGGCTGCTCACAAGACAAGTGTAGCCTGTATTGGCATCTGCGAGCAAAGTGTCTACCCAAGCAATATGTAGTCACTATATTGTGAAATTGGGTAATTTTGACCCTGCTGCGCGACATCATAGTTTGACCAGAAAAGATTCCAGCCCTCGCTTCACTTTTCAACCTTTACGGAGCTTCATTGCCCTGACACCCAACATCTCAACTCAGGTCTATGCTGCTACTCTGTCCGATCGTTGCCCACCGCTGGGCATAGACTTCAAGATTACCTTTGCTAAAGCCGATCCTCAAATGAACTGAAAGCATTAAGCAATCCTGACGAATGCACAGCTAACATGGGCATGCTTCACCACAACGCAAACGTGACATGAGCACCACTCAAATTCCGTGCAAAAAAGGAGATGACATGGCCATGTTGGGGCTTACTGGCCAGAGTCATCCAAAGTCGAATTGGGGGACATCGGTTGAGGATATCGGCGGTAGCTAAAAGAATGATCGCGAGTCCTTGTACTGCTCCCGCCGAGCAATCCATGCCAGCTTGGCATCCTGGCTTTGTGCTCAGAGATCAGGGGTCAGCTGCAGATATGGCCAACCACATGTCTCAATAGGGGCAGCCCGATGGGAAATCGAAAGGAAAGCTAGCTGGAAGAAGCTAGCTTATAAACATCAAGATAAGCTGTGTGTGGCCTGCGCAATTGGCCAGCAGTGCTTGTTTTGGTTGTGTGGGGCCTTGTTGTTTTTGACTTGCTTACGCCACGCGTACCGTTTGAAACGCGACCGACACTCCCACAAAAACGCCTATGCAAGAAAGACCACGTTGATTAGACCCCTGCCTACGGTTGCAAGCGATAACCATCATCTGAACACATTTAACTTTGGGCTGCACAAAAAAAAACAACTTGCCAGTACAAGCGTAGCACATGCAGTGCTCTTTGGGAGCCCAGCTGGAGATTCCCGACTTTTCAGAACAAAAGTGGCACACGAAGTGCACTTTTGCAGCTCCAGCTCGAAAATCAAAACTTTGTAGCACACTTGCGCAACTCAGAGAACATTTGGCAGCTCCAGCTCTAAAAGCAGGCGGGCCTACAAAGAAAGGACGAGTCCGAGGACCCCCCCTGGGCGGGTCTTGGACGTCATGTTTACGAAGTGTCTATGCGAAGTCTGCCTGACTTTCTTGAATTTTGGAAACTAGTTGGAATTGCAGCAATCCCCGCAACAACGCTTCACATGCAGCATTCACCCCTTCATTTAGGGAAAACACACACACACATGCCACGTGACAACTCAATCTATCAAATCGTCGCCTGCGCGACTGCCTACGCAAGGCTCTAAAACATGAGCCTCAGCCAAATGCCCACACATGCCTACGCGGGTGTGGCCCTGTCAGTCAAATTCCTGGGCAACGTGTCAAACAAATGTCGGCACGTCGGGGTGGGCCTTCATGCCTGGAAGAGAAAGCTGCCCAATTGTGCAGTTGCGCGAAAGGCTACGATCAGTACCTGTAGATAGCTCTCTCTATTTAGATTAATACACATTTGCCCAGGCAAAGTGAATTCTGTTGCTTCACGACTGGGGCAACACATCCTTGTCAAAGGCCCTTGCACTGTGACTTAAACGTATACTTGCACCGGTCATTCTGGAATCGCTTCCATAGATCAATGGCACAACCACACGCGACCACATGTATGACAGGTGCAACAGCAATCTTTGCAACTGCATGCGCAAGCGGTGCTACTCTACAAAACATATGTACTGCTGTGGATGATAATGAAACTGCCTTGTGGGAAAAGGGAAGAGTATAGAGGTTGGGTTTTCAGGCTTGCCTAACAGCATCCACCGCATGTGCCTCCTCGGTTCGCTGGTAGACCTTCCTCTGCCAGGCCGGATCATCCTGGCCGGCTTGCAATGCGCTCTCAAGTTCGCACAGTGCTGTACCCTTTGGAAAGAAGCTCCTTTTGGGCGATTTTGAAAGGTGAACTGTATGCAAACCTGTTGTGGGTCCTGGGTCCATATAGTTTTAGGAAGCGCGAATATCATGTCATCTCACGATGTTCCCTCATAAACCAAAGAAGCAAGACAAATAAACCTGTTTAACTAGCCCCCACCAAGACAACGACAAGCTGGGGCTGTGACATGAAAGTAAGCTAGCAATCCACCGCCACCATTGGCTGAGATCGAGCTCTTGCCTGTTTGTTTCCCAGCAACACCAAGATTTGTTTTATGTCGCGTGTGTCAACGCCACCAGAAAGACCCACAGAGTTGACAGCCCAAATAAGAGCAAGCAGAAGATGCCAGAACATTCTTCACTTTTTTGATTGCTGCATTTGAGTCCTATTCAGGAGTCCAGGTCCAGTCAAGTCAGGTGAGTCAGACAGTCAGCAGGTCAGGCAGCCAATCAGTCAATCAGCTAGCTTGTCTCAGGCAGTCAGACCTCCATCTATCGAAGTCTCTCTGTTCCATTAGGGCACACTGTGGTTGCAGCAGCACTGCGCCGATGGCTAAAAGCACCATGCCCACAAGTCGCATAGTTTGGCTAAGTGAAAGTACATGTGGAACTCACACACCTTCCAAAAATCACATCGAGACCCAACAACTGCAGAGGCCAACAACAAAGTGTGAGGGCCAGCCCCAATTGCTTTAATTGGACAACTATGTGGCCCAACCTTAAAACCTTACACCTATGGGGTAGGAGTATAATTTCCATACGTGACCTTCTTCTCCTTTGGCTGTCCGCTTTTGGGCAGGTTCGACTGCTGACAACTGAATGCGGCCTCCCCAGGTCGATGCCCTATATCTCGAAAACACGTGCCAGAAGACAGAGCTCCATGTGGACACAGGGATGGTCAGACAAAGAGCATGATTTTACATGAGTTCGCAGACATGAAACTATCGGCATGTCCGCACTAGCATTGCCGAGCCCAACTTAGCTGCACGCATCGCAAGCGCCGAAATCAAAGTGCAAAGTTAAGGATGAATACCTCTTCACTCTCAAACCATGTGGCAAATAAGTGATGATGATTCTCCTGACGATCCATCTGATGTCCCGTCTCATGCTGCACTTAGTCTTCGACAGACAACCCAAGTCCCAAGAAAGCCATCTGGAGAGGAATCTTTGAGATTCATGTCATTTGTCAGGGGAAACCAAGCACCCCCCCCCGCCAGCCGCCAGCCGCTGTCCTCATCGTCTGAGTCCGTTGGTCTCTTCAGCGACATTTGTCTCATGATGCTCGCATCCAGTGGAGTGTCCTGGCGCGAGCAAGCGAGCCGCTCGCAAGCCGGACACACACACACACACACACACACACACACACACACACACACACACACACACACACACACACACACACACACACACACACACACACACACACACACACACACACACACACACACACACACACACACACACACACACACACACACACACACACACACACACGCACACACACACAGAAACATGCGTGTGTGGACAGCGCATCCACACTCAAAGCCAACATCTAGCTTTGAAACGGACTGCTTGAGGGACTCAAGAAACGCACTGCCCAAAGTGGCCAATGCCGTCTGAACCATACATTACAAAACAAACAGAGAAGGCAAACAGCTGGTGTTGACTGTGTCGGCCAAGCTTGACACGCAGATGCCAATGGATTCGCAACAGCGTCTGCCAAAGTCCAAACAATCTGGATCACGGCAGTGATGACGCCCGAACGGCGCCCAACGTTGTACCAAGAGAACAAGCGGATGCAAACCAACTCAGGCATCCCAAATCTGAACATAGAACATTCAGCATGCCACATCTCCCATCTGTCCGATGCCTTTGCCATCTCGCTCAGCTGGATCTTGATCCTTGGTTCGTACAAGAACTATGTCAAAGCAGCACTCACGTGCCGCTTACTAGCTCGATTGGTGCACACTTCAGTACGTGGGTCCAACCAGCTTTTTTAAATAGCGAACCTTTGCACAAGGCATCCCGGCCGGCATAGATTGTGATTCAGCTACTCAAAACATGGGATTTCAATAGGCTCATTGCTAAATCAAGAACACAAACTGTATTCTGGGCGCCTTGCGCATGACGTTTTGACGTTGTTTGTCGCGTGCTTTAACTTTCGGGCAGTTGGTGTGACTATCCGATGGACAAAATACCAGTGAAGCAACGGGGTGGGAACCCCGAAACCGACTCAAGGGACCATGATGACGTAGTGGGTTGTCCATTGCCAAGGTGGTTCTCAGTTCGGGACCTCTCCAGCTGTGCAAGACACCGCAAGCGATGTCTTTGCAAATTGCCATCTCGCCATGTCTTTCAGTGGCTCCAGCAAAGCGGACACCTTGAGTGCTAAAAGCACATATGGCCATGGGTGAAAACCCCGGTTAGCCCCCAGTGAACATCCCAATCCCCACTAAAATAGGGGTGCACCTACCCCAAAATGGTACCATTGGTATTGACAACCACAGTCATGTTAAAAAAGGGGCTTGTTGTCTTGATGCCTGTTGAAAGAACCTCCAAAAACTGATAGGTCGAGGCGCCGCAGTGGACCACACACAATGAGACCTCAGCCGGAGGCCAATGACAAACATCTCAGCCTGAAGCTCCCAACCCATATGGGTATGGGTCAAAATTAAACCACCAGGAATTGGACCTCAGGTTTTGGTCCATGTTTCCACTTACTAGGGTTCCATTTGGGGTACCTATTTTTGACCCACAGCCATATCCCCAAAGCTCCCTACCAAAGAAATTTCCGTCACTTCCTCCATAGACATCCGCGAAAGGTTTGTACACGAATACAGCTTTTCTGTCCCAGGCAGGTGTCTTGCTTCGCGACATCCATCCAAACTGTAAATGAATTCTACAGCCAGTCCTGCCTCTTTCAATGACAGCCGTTGCAGATTCCTGGTCCATCTGGTGAGGGCTGACGACTTTCTGGTTTCAAATTCTGGGCCACCTTCTTGGAAGAACACTGACAAGCAGACGCATTTCGTAACCAAAGCACAGTGTGCATCCAAATTGGCCGGCTGACCCATCCTGGCTCTAATGAATCTCAGCAGGAGTACCCGAAATGCCTGGTTCAGGGGTAGAGAATTAGCAATTGGCCCAGCAGCTTCATCTTTGAGGCGAGCCCAACATGCTGTCTTCCGCAGAAAGCCTATGGTGCTGCCGCAACACGCTCCCAATGTTACCGGACCATCAGTGGAAACGTCCTGATGGGCACTTGCTGAGTTCAGGGACAGCAACAAACACGCAAAACCAGCGACTGGCATCATGCTGCAAACTGAAAGCCTTCCCAAAGAAGATAAGCCTATGTGCTCGCTGCTAGGCATCGTCAGAATGTGCTTCGATGCATCAAGACGGGTCGTGGTGTCATAGTGTGTCAAAACGTATCGCCGCGAAATGAAAATACCCCCCCCCTTTCCATAGACTTTTAGGGGCACCAAAAGAATATCAAAGAAAAAAGTAAAAAGTTTACAAACCACGCCTACCTTTGTGTGGTGCCGATAAACTTCAGCTTGCTGTCACAGGTGGAAAAATGTGTCGCCACCGCATTCTCATTCCACTATTCCGTTAGTCATCTAAACGCGGCACGTATATATGCCATACTTTCAGGCATTGGCCTTGCACAATTCATTTCTTTACATGCATTTGAAAGCTCGTCGCTGGCATGAAGACGAGCTCTGGCGGTTGACTTCTTTTTTTCGGATGAGAACTTGTTCCGCCCAAAACCCCTGAGGGCCCGATTCGGGGCCTCTCAAAAGCCCGAATATGGTCTCGTGATTCATTCGGAAACATGGACCATGTCAGATATCTAACTACTTCAAGGCTAAAGGCCAGTTTGGCAAAGCAATGAAATATGTTACAAACTGTAGGGCAGTGCCAAACTAGTGTTGTCGTACCTTTTCCTGCAGAATGAACAGCGCAATGGCAACGCCGAACAAGACAAGAACCACTCCCCCAGACGAAGACAACACGTTGCGTTGAATATGGTCGGCAAGCCTTTAAGCAGCGCTTGTCAATCTTAACAAACACTCATTTAATGGTCTGAGTCCCCTCACCCCGGGGCTTGCGGGTCCCCCCGGTTCATTTGTCAAGTCCAAGCAAACAAGGCAACATCGCCACGGACGGAGTCCCGTGGGCCACTCCCGTCCCCTTCGACTAGAAGGAGGCTGGTTTGACAGTCGCGCGCCGAGGTGCTGCCGTTCTTCAGCGGCCCAATCCACTGGTTGTTCACCGCGTAGCCGTCCAAGGTGGTGCCCTGGACTCGACCCGTGCGGAACCGCATGAGAAGTCGGGCACTGCGTCTGACTGCGCCGAACGAGGGGGGGAAAACAAAAGAACGACGGAACTCGCGCATTGCACGAAACAATGGACTACCAAAAATATTATTGTCAGCCGATCACAGATATTGGAGCCCAAATATGCTGCGCATGCAGCATCTCACGAAGCCGTGCAGTAAACCGGTAAGATTCGTCTAGTGCAATTCATGTCTTCCTTGGTTGAGCTCAAATTTGGATGATTGAACTCCCTGGGATTGTTCGACGTCCCCAGCAGAGAACACCTTGACAAACAAAGGATCTCACGACAATCTCGGACGCTCACACAGTGGCGTCCTCCTCCGACGTCTCCATGTCGCAAAGGAAGAACCGATCCTCAAGGCAGAGTTCAGGGCGGCAAAAACTTAAGAAGAACATGTCATGATGGTTTAGGGTTTTGGGTTAGGGTTTAGGGTGATATTTTGGCATTTGTCAATGGTTGCAAGCCGCAAAAAGAGCACAAAGAACGTAAGGCTGGAAGATCTTCCCAGGCCGCAGCAAAACTCCAGGCTATGCGGCTATGCGTGGCAGTGCTAGTATCCTCAAAGTCTAAAAGTGAGAGCAAAGCAGCTGCTGAGATCCAAGGTGATCCGAGCAACCTCAAGCTAATGTGCCTCATCAGAACAGAGCACTGTGCGAAAAGCATTAAGCACTTTCTCCCCCAGTATTCCCCAGTGTTTTGCCCCCTTGAACATATTCCCAAGAGGGTCCATGTCAAGTGCTGATGCGCCCATGTCTCGCAATCGCTGAAACTGCATGGGTGACACATCGGGGGACCAAAAACAAAAAACAAACAAAAAACAAACATCCGCCTGCTCCGAGCGGATCTTGCAGTGCGCCTGGCACGCGCGCGCATGGGCAAGGGTGGAGGGTGAAGAAAGCACCTCCAAATGGCTCCCAACACCAGATCCCCTTCGGCCGCACTTCATCACACGAGTTTGCTGGGCATCCCAAACTATGTTGGCCACCATGGTCGATGGGCAACAGTTGCCTCCAAAGAACCTGGCGAGACTTGCCTCCTGGAATCCTGGACACAGTTTTCCAGTTTCGTGTGGAGGTTTGTGGAACCTACCCGTTTAAAGCAGCATTGGCTTAGTTTCCAAGATTGCGCTTGGGATGGGCATGGAGGGGCACCCTCGTGATTCTAGCGTGTCTCCAAGTCTGCGTGGACTAAAATTGGGAGGTGTTTGGGAGTGCAGTGGTACCTCGTACTGCTTGCAATGACAGCTCCGCTTCGATGTCGACCGCTACTTTGGCGCTCATGAAAGTCGTCCGGTTTTCAGCCTCGCGTTTGAACTTTGTTGGATGCAGGTTCTCCAGCTTTTCCATGAGGTGCCAAGACAGTGTCAGCCAATTTTAGAGAAACACCGAATTTGTTTCTGGGTTCTTGGAACATTTTTTGGGATGTTTCGCACTGCAGCTGCGCTGTGGTCCTGGAGCAAGCTCCCGCAAGCATTAAACACCTTGCCTGCAGGCCCCAGGCAACCTATCAAGTGCCACAGACCCTGGCTGTGGAAGCCGTCGCTGGCTGACATTAACGCAGCAAATGCGTAGCATCTATGCCCCAACATGGGCCTTGAGCCTGGAGAAACTTCAGAAGGATACCACTCCTTCAGCTTTGTTTCTGGAGCTGAATGGCTGGTCGCTGGCGACGCCGGGAGCGGTGCGTTCCGGCGCCGGCTGAACTGGTGCCATTGTTCGGCGGGAATAAGCTCGGTAGTTTGCGGTTTTGCGGCCCAGCCACACATTGCATCTGCACATGGCCGTGCTGGACAAAAATATGCTTCTTGGTGCAGCAAGTGTTTGCTTGCGAACGTGGTGATGCGGAAGTCACTGCTGGGCAGTTGGTTGTGGCACGATGGAAAACTGGTGGACCTCGGCTGGGCGGGTATGATGCGATGCAGCGACGCTGCCAGAAACGGTCGAGGAAGGCGCCGTTTGGTCAGGAAAGTCGCAATCCTTTGCGACAGAAGAGAAACAAACAACCAAAGAAATAAAGAAAGCAAGAAAGAAAGAAAGAAAGGGAGAAAACAATAAAGAGATAAAATTGAAAGAGAGAAGGAGAGAGAATAAACCAGATTGTAAAGAAGGAAAATACAACGAACATAACAAAGCGCTGGTTGCCCCGAAAGGATATGGTTGAGCAAAGGTACCCATTAGAAGTAAGCTATACTCCTCATGCTTAAACGTTCTTGTGCTGTGTCTCTGTGTGTGGTGAGTGTGGGGGAAATGTGTGCATGCGCGCCTGCGTGCGTTGCCATACAGTAGTGTGCTCGCGGTTTGCGTGCGTTTGGGCGGAGGTGTGGTGGGTGTGCTTGCTTGCGGGCGGGCTCGAGTATGTGTGTGTGTGTGCGTCTGTGTCTGTGTGTGTCTGTGTGTGTGTGTTTGTGTGTTTGTGTGTTTGTGTTTGTGTGAGTGTCTGCAGCGGCCGCTTTGTGCGCGAGCTTTTGTGCGCCCAGCAATGATTTCCCCACCTGCGCTAAGCGCTCTGGAGCGTCTTCTCGACAAAGCGCATCCAGGTCAGGACAACACCTGGCAAACTCGGGAAATGCTAGCCTTGAATGATACATACATCCTATAAGGATTATACATATGCAATTGCACATATATACACACATACACGCACGTATGCAGCATTTACATAAGCTTACATAAAGTGCACAAAGATATGTGTTTACATGTGTATATACCAACATATAGTACATGTTTGACATAATTATATATACATACCGTTCATGCCCTCGTAATTTATATATATAAATATTTCTATACACACATGAATACATACACATGTGATAATTCATATACACAACCATGCCGTCCATCAGTAAGCAATCTGTGCGCTTGACACAATGCCATCTTGCGTGGTAACTCTCTTCAATGTCAGTGATATGTTCGGGTCCTCAGCGGCGTACCACAAAAGGCGCACTGCAAACCAAGTGATTTTTTCCGCTTGCTCGCTTTCCATGCGTTCCTCTTGCACGCTTGTCAAGTTGTCTGCGAGGTAACTGTGCACATCCCAGCCCCATGCGACCCCTCCGTAACTTAAAAGCCGAAAACAGCGTACACCAAAGGCCTAAGCAGGGTTTGATGTTTGATCCTCCCTTTTGGCTTAAACCAAGCTGGCCCCGGCTAGTGTAGAGACCCTCTTTAGGCTCCCGATCACTTCCCTCAACCTGTCAACAAAAATCACCTTGGGCACGAGCTCATCCAAGCAGAATGAGCCAGTCCGTTGCGGAAACCAAACGCGTCTCAATGCTGGGGACTCTCCTGTACTCTTTCATGACTTTACCGTTTCTTTACAGGGATTCCCAGGTTCCCGGCAAAAATGGAACTTTCCGAGGCAACTAATTTCCCAGACGTATGTTTGGGGGCTTTAACCGAAATTCGGGATCCTAGCTTGGTAGAGAAACCAAAAGATTCGGGGAGACATCTAGATGCATTCGGCATCCCTGGCCTGCCAATGATGGCGCCGGTGGCCTCTACCCGGAGCGTGCACCTGCCAGAAACCAACTGGGGCGTTTGCCAAACAAAAGGGGGAAGCCTGCGGTTTTGCAACGCCACAACTCACTAAACGTATTACAAACTCCAAAAAGTCTTTTAGTATGAATTATGAAACTTCGACAAATCCAAAGAGGCGCCAGTTGCCAACAAGTAGGAAGAAACAATCTGCAGACCCCATGTGCTCTTGGTGGTGTCCATTCAGCCCCATAGGGTCTGCACTTGTATTGTGTTGCTACATGTTTGGAAATCAAAATGAACTATTGTGGATTGATATATCAGAATCGTATTCCTTTTCTTGGGGATCGCGCAAGAAGATGGAGACTCACCAAGAGATACACGAATAAGGAAGTACTAAGATAACATCAATTTGGAAAAGGCCCTATAGGGTTGTAGTGGATGGGGTTGTAGGCGAGTTGCAAAAACACAAAGCCCTGCCCTCCAATCAGCCCTGCCCACTTCTGTGTGTGTGCCCCTTGGGCTGCGCTAACACCAGAGCTTCAAAAGCGCAGGCATTTTGCCGCACACACCGTGGGCCCATTTGTCGAAGAGGCCGGAGCAATCCGGAGCATGGATGACGGGTTTCATGTAAGAGCAGGCAGTTGCGCTTACCGACGGCGTCCGTAAGCACAGCCAAGCCGTCGGGAGCACATACTCAGCCCCTGGGCGCGCTGTCTATTCTGTGGTTGCGCTTACCGACGCCGCCGGTACGCACAACTGAGCGTTTGAGCCAGTCGCATGGATGGGTGTGGCTTTGGTGAGAAGCCCTTGCTGGACATCATTCACAAGGGGGCTAAGGGGGCTGATATGCGCAAGCCCCTGCTGGGTTGTTACCGCATTTAAACAAATCATGGCCAAATGTGTAATGTGGCTCTTGCTTCGCGCACTCTTGCTTGAGTCTGTGAGCTGGGGGGGCCTGATTGAAAGCCCTTCTGTGGAGAAAAACCGATGCAACTGCAACCCCATCTGCTACAACCCTATAGGCACTCTTCCGATAACGATATGAGTGAATGAGCACAGTACTAGTACGATATGAAAAGGCACGGAGGTAATCATACTGCTTGCAATGGATGATTTATTTCCTTGGTTGAATCATTAATCGTTTCAACTCCTGTACATGAGAAGGGTTTGCACATCAGGCAACCATGAGGACACCAACCATGTGCGGGTTAGCTATTTTCAGTGTGAGCCATCGCCACACATAGAAGCAACTTTAAGACCTTTCTTGGGTCCCAACCCACTCTTGAAGGCGGCACCAAACAACACCAGGGTCCCAGCATGCTCACATGCTGGCCCCATGAACAATTGGCGGCCCTAAATCAAAAACTGTAGTAGGCCAAACAAGCAGCTGCGCATTCATGTTCTCTTTAAGGGGGTCACTTCCTCTTTATACATGGTTCAAAATTGGCATCCTGCCTCCGGAATATGCAGCTTGCAATATGCCCAAGAAAAGCAGGTCGCCAGCAGAGAGACACGCCAAAAAAAGGAAGGAAGGAAGGAAGGAAGGAAGGAAGGAAGGCAGGAAGGAAGGAAGGAAGGAAGGAAGCAAGCAAGCAAGCAAGCAAGCAAGCAAGCAAGCAAGCAAGCAAGCAAGCAAGCAAGCAAGCAAGCAAGCAACGAAGCAAAGAAGCAAGGAAGGAATGAAGCAAAGAATGACGGAAGGAAGGAGGCAATACGAACAGAAAAACAACAACATTGAAGACAAGGAAGAAAGACACGAGGGTGGAAGCCGCCGGGCAACTGCGGGCAAGACCACCGTGACTTATTGGACCTGAGCGCCACGCGCACTGAGCCCCCAGGGGGCAGGTTTCTGGACCTTCAAGCGGTCCACGTAGCGCTCAAGGGCCTGGCTGTCCCGCAAAGAAGTGGCGTCCAATCTGCTAGCTGATTTGTTTGGCAGAGTGGGGAAAAACCCACGCGGTTTAAACATGACGTGCTTGACAAGTAACAATTTGGCTCTAACAAATGGGCTAGCCGGAAACTACACGCATATTGTGACACGAGCGATCGGAGTCGGCGTTGGTACCGGTTGAGGGTCTGCAACTTGATGCTGCGCTGGTGTTCAAAACGCATATCTGAAAGTGTTCAGGTGTTTCGGGAGCCTTGCCCCCTTGTCGACATTGGGGAAGGAAATTTCCCTTTGGCACTGAGTCAGTCATGAGATTTGAGCAACGTGCGCGGGTCTCTTCTCCTAAGCATTGAACAGCAACGTACATAATGAAACCATGTTTGGGCATACTTTCTCAGCACGGGTGACCAGACCCACCCAGTGCGGCATCTCCTCAGCTTATCAAAATGATCATGACAATTTTGCAGGTAGAGGCTGCCTACTTTGTGGCTTGCGCGTCTGTACTTTGTAAAGCCTTCCAAGGCATGATCTGTGTCAACCGTACATAATCCTGGATCATCCAAGTACCCATGGCTGGCACTGCTGGGGGGGCGCAACTTTTTGGGGATGACGTAGAGCTGTTTGCTAAAACACACAAAGAAACATTATTATTGTGTGGAAACGAGAATTTGCTTAAAACCAACTATAAAAGTCATGTTCATCATTGCGGGTCTGTGTCGAAACTCGGGAACCCTTTTGGTGAGTCTGGGGACGCTTGCTGAGGGAACTGGTTTTGTTGCAGTCCCAGGCTGCGGTGTGCCTACTTCAGGCGATCTTTGCCACAGAACATGGTTGCGACCCACAGAAAAAGGACGGCTCTTCATAGAAACCGAACTTGGGTGTTTATAAAACCGGATTTTATAAAAGGACATGAAAGGAGATCCTGTGCTGTGGGTGATTTGCAGCCATGGCCACGGAATCGCCTTGTAACCCTTACACCGATCACCCGTCTGGCAAACACGCGCCTAAACGCACAGCTTGGACATGAGCCACAGGCGACATAGAAAACAGTGTTCCCCAAAGGGTCGACATGAACAAATTGGGTGGATCCTGGTGTTTAATGAATTCGGCGTCAAGGACCATGTTTCTCGTCTTCCCCAAACTGAAATAGACTTCGCAGGATATGGTCAGGTCCCTGCACTGCAGGCAACAAAAGGACAGGAGTGGACCAATAATAGACCAATCACTTATTGAACGCCGAATTCTTGTTTGAGCATCTAGGTTGCAAATTTTAAGTTGAGGTCCACGGCAACCCCATCTTGCCACAAACCCGCACCAAAAAGCCAAGGAACTAACAAAAGCCGAACACAAAACAGCTTCTCCAAAAGTTGGGTGGGTGGGGGTGGGGGTGACTCGGCGCCAGGGTTGGGCCTCCGCCACTTACCGTATACGCGCGCACCTCAGAGGCACAGGAGTTGTGCTCCGGCCGGAAGTTCTGCAGGGCGAAGCACTGGCCTATCGGCGGGGGGCCAAAATTTGGAAGAAATACCGACGATTTCTAAGGCGCGGTTTGGGGATTTAACACTAAACAATTCTAAAATATCCTAAACCCTGACGCGGGCCTCCGGACCACCGCGAATTAGTACGGCGCGTTTCGGCACCATTTTCCCGCGCAAAGAAAGAGGGACTTCAGTTCGAGCCCAGTGAAAACTCTGACCAATCTCCGGATACATCCTCAATCCCGCGGAGCAGCCACCTACAACTACCTTCTCCCCAGACCACCTTCTCCCCCTCAACGCGTTTAGTCTGAGGTTTGAACTTCTGGGGGGGAGGGTGAATTCATCCAACGTTACCTTTATCTTGGGACTCCTGTTCGACGTGTCGTAGAAGGGGCAGCCAACTTGCAATCGACTGCTTGTGGTTGTTTGCAAGAATAACATGCTGATAGGGATTCTGGGCGCTTTTTCACGCTGCGGAATTTTTACCATCAGTGGATTCTCGCGGAAAACCCGGCTCTCGCCCTTTTTTTGTTGCTGATTTAAGGGAATTGGCGAGGTGTCCAGAGACCCCTGACTGCTGTCATGTTGTCTTCCCTTTAAATGAACACGGGGGGTCCCTGGTCGCAACATACCCCTCAAATATCCATCTGGTTCCAATTCAGCGCGGCACGAACAGTTCCTTAAGCCAAAAGTACCAATACAAAAAAGAGGCAACATCAATCAACACCAATCATTGAGGTCTGCGATCTCATCCACATAGCTGAGATTGGCAATATATGCCCGCCTACGCGGTTGTGGCCCTGCCAGTCAAATGCAAACACGCGGCATGTAAAACATGTCGTCACGAAAGATGCGGTCCTTCATCCCTTCAAAAAACACGCTGCCCACGTAAGAAAGCCCAAAGCGTTGCGAAACCCAATACGGATATAGAGGTTAATACAGCAACTTACTATATCCCGGCAAGGAAACAACAACTCCTTCTACTTTGGCCTCTGACAGAGCGGACACAAACTCCTTGCCTGCTGGCGGAAGGGAGCTGATCCTCCTGGCCGCCTGCAAGCCGCTTAGGCCATGGACCCCACACAAAGATGCGCCACATGTGCGTAGCATTGCTTGATGATTGTTTCTTGCTTGTGGACTCGGGTACGCCTCTCTTCACTTTAATTCAATGGCTCAACCACGCTGTCAAAGATTGCGAACTTGAGCAGTCATATCAAGCAGTGGCATAGCCTTCGATCAACAACAAATGACTGGACTTCCACATCAATAAAACAAATAGCATGCTCCCATCTCCAATCAAAGCTGCGGAGGAGGATCAGATTGGATGGGACAAACACTTGCGAATCAAAATCGGTCACGGACCGGACATACCGGGATCCGGAGAAATCACAGCCCTCACCAAGGGTCTTCGGGATTCGATAGACAACCACTTCTGGATTTAACACCATAAATCAGATATGTAAGACCACATTTACATCCTCTGCCTGGCGGTTGTATCCATACCATGAGCCAAGATACAGGAAAAAAACTCATTCAGAAGTATGACACAACTCCGAAACTCATGCAAGTCAAAGTCCATCATTCTTCCAGCTCCTCTACTTTCTGGATGTCGGCATTTCATCTGATAATATTCGATTAAATTTTCACACTGGCATTCTGGTTGGCCTTTTCTCAATAGCACGCACAGGCCGCACAGGACATCTTCCATTCCAGACATCACAATACCAGCCTCTCGAGGTTCAAACCTCACCCTCCTACTTAACATTCTTTGGTGGTTTAAAATCAAATACAACTTCATTATACCGTGCAGATTTGCATATCATCACCTAGCAGTTGATATCACATTCATCCACACAGGTCATCCAGTTTCCTCTTGTTCAACAACCCTTGTTGGGACATATGTACGAGATACATTATATCCACCATCTACATGTGCCAAATAAAATCACTCCACTTAGCCCTCTCACTCATTCTAGCCAGTTGTACAGCAAATATGTCTACCACCACTCAGCACATCTATTCTTTCACACGACACTTGTATTTGTCTTATGATCGCACCAAGGACACGGCTCTCTATGTCCATCACTCCTGCATCACCTCATTCTCAACCATTGCTTCCCAGGACACACAGCTATCACCCTGGTAAAAGAATGGATCACACCATTAGAACTAGAATCCAGGTACAAGACCCATTCCAATCCATACACATAAAGCTGCCATTATCCCACACTTTTTCCTGGATCAGTCTTTGGCTTGGTTTTCACACACCAGAAGTATTCTCCCACAATGACACTTGCATAGCATTTAGCTCTCCATCTAAGCAAATCTTAATAGAGTCAACAAATGCTCAACTTGTTCAATAATCATCAGGAAAGGCTTTATACCCATTCACCATCATCTCTTTGGCCAACTATAATACATCATTTGATTCATTTATACACCTCATCAGCCCAGGTGATTCGTATTTTACATCATGCAATAGCTAATGCCGCACAAAATGGAGCAAGCATTTGGATGTTCATTTGATGGACCAGGCAAAGGTGGTACATGTGATATAGCTTGGGATTGCTTTTATCTAGCAACGTGCTGGATGCTTAATACCAACAAATGGATTAGCTTCTATTTCCGCCACAAGCACCTTGCACCTCGTCAATTCTCAGAAATCCACTTTATCTAGAATCATGGCTTCGAGATTATCTCCTCAACGCTCTTCAAATGGTTTGGGGTTGCGATCTGTGATCAGCCCTTTCCTCCTGGCACAAAAATCTGAGACCCCAAGTAATTTGGCTTCTGGCCGGCGACCCTCCCACCACTGTGAGAGAAACCAAATTGATTTGGTTTCATTTCGCCCTGAAAGCCTCCGAACCGCGCTAAGGCGGGGGCCTGCGGCCTCAGCTGCCAGCGCAGCGTGAACTCTTCCACCGCCGCCTGGGGATGCGCTTTGACGAGAACGCCGCCAGCGCAGGCCGAGCCCTGGGGGCAAGCAACGCAGGACGACCGCTGGATGCAGCATCATTGATGGATGACGGCCGTTTGATTGTGGGAGGGAGATTATATATATATATATTATGTATTAACATACGTGTTACAAATATGACGCACTCAAGGGCTAGCACTGCTCAGAGCTTGAAACAAGTGACAGCAGCAAGCATGTTAGGCAGGCAATAATGCCCACACTGACAGCATCTCGTATTCAAAACTAGATGTTCCCGCAGCTGGCCATAGTGTATAAGGTTGTGGCAATGGAGCATTGGACATCTCAGAACCAGGACATTGCCATCATCCTTACTAGGAAGAGCAAATGTGAGAAGCTTTCAGAAGCTTCATCTGGACACGTCCAATTTCCAAATACGCTTTGGACATGGGAAAGTGATGGCCTCACCAAGCCTCAGTGCTTGAAAACAAGTTCCTTTACACGAGCAACTTGCTCGTAGGAAGACTCCCAGACCTCACACACAAACAACGCCCATGCTTGTCGACTCGCTGCAGGGCTGTCTCCCAATGATCCTTCATTCTTGGGGAAAGGGACATGATCGGAAATAGTCATCCACTGGAATTCGTGCAGACACTCCATGCTGACATGCAAGCACGGGCCCTTCATCGGGTGTTGTGCCTCCCAGCAAAAGCAACAGGAGCGGTATTGGCATGCGTCTAAGCCCGATGCAATACTCCTTTTTGCGCCCATCTGACGCAGTGGTTTGGTGTGGCACCCTCACTCCGGTAAAAGTAACGCGGTGAGTGTACCCATAGTCATCCCCTTTGCCAAAGTATTGACTGTACGAATAACTACGAATAATATTGACTGTTGTTAGTAATATTAACACTAACTATCAATACCTCCATGAATAATATCGACTGTTGCTCTTGCTGATGCCTGCAGCAGGTCTTTCGGGATCTGCTTGTCTGCCTGCGGGTGGGGTGAGCTCTGACTCCAAGAGCCAGAACTGAGTGGGACTTCCCCCAGCAAATGAACAATGCAATGAAAACAGTTTAGCCATGCCGGAAAGCTCCATAAGGCCAGGGTCCAAATACAGACCCGCCATGCTGGAAAGGCATGAAGGTTCATGCATGCAGCTGATCAGCATACCATTCAAGAAAGGATGGGCTCAAGCAGGCTGGCAGAAATCTGGCAACCGTGCAACCACGTTCGATTCATTCAACAGTCTCAGGTTGAGTGACCTTTGGATTCCCGAGCTTTACAGCGGACAGCCTGCCATTCTACACATAACTTCTGCCATCAAGCGAGCAATTAACTGCATCAGCCTCGCAACTTGGTCATGACACGGCTTTTTGGACAGACCATCTTGTAGGTTCTGCTGACCTTGCGGGAATCAAACCTAACATCTTAAGGAGCGCATCAATTCCACATCAATGCCACATCAATTCCATCAATTCCATCAATTCCACATCAATTCCACATCAATTCCCCCAAACCCTCGTTTGCACCCTCAGTTCCTTTGCTCCACGGAGCAAGCCTCATGTGCCACCGAGAGGTTGATGAACACATCGATGTTCGGCAGCTCACCGTTCGCAGCACCCGTGGCCTCAAGGCCACGAGGATGGTTCATGACTCGCCACGTGCAGTGTAGCATCAACTGGCCATAGCCGTTGTTTGATCCAACCGGGAAAATGTCGCACATTTGTTTGTTGCTCCACGTCCAACAGGGGCAGTATAGATCGATATATGTTCCAGGCCGTGAACCCCCGTTTCCCCCCCCGTGCGGGTGGGGTGGGGTAAAAAATAGTAAAAGGGATTTGAAGGAACTGAAAATCATTTTACTATTTTTTCTAACAAGCAATGAAAAAACACATTGAAAAACCATGTATCAAATAATAGATAAGGTTAATAAATCACAACCTTATTCATTCTAAGTAATTCCTAGAAAAGATACACACCTTATCCATTATTTTTTCACTACTTAACCTATTTCATTTTACTATTTGTTTACCCTTATTCATTTTATATTTTAAGTCTTTTTCCAATTCTCAGAAACTCCAGTTATTCTTCATTTTTTCTTTTTACCTTATTCATTGTTCGCGAATTTTTCACTCAGACTTAAAAATATGACTAAAACACATTTCACCTAATAGTTCCACAAAACCAAACAGCCTAAGCACACAAGAAAACTAAGAAAAAAAATATTTCAATCTTTACAAACCATAAGTTCAATATAATTATAACATATAAGATTTTACATGTTATTATTATAGTATGATTATAATTTCAGTACAGGATAATAATTTAATTGACAAATCTTTCTTCTTTCATACATCATTTTAAAAATAATATTAATATCTCTCAATGTATTTTGAATATTAAACTTTTTACTTTCAATAAATAATTTGATATTTTCTTTAACATCTTCTCCTTTCTCTTGACTATAGCCCAACATCCATAATATATCATAAATCATTTCATATTTTTTCTTACTGATTTTAAGAAACTGTTTAACATAATCATAAGGTGGTATTTTATTTACAGTTAGAAATATTAAAATCTCATCTTCTACATTTCTATTATGTCTTCCTTTTATTCTCAACAAACATTTGATTAAAAATTGATTATCTCTCCATTCCTGACAATTTTCACATTGGTCTTTTTCATCCATTGAATAATTAATAATATTATTCACTGTTTCATTAGGTAAATTCAATTTATACAATTCCATATTTTCCTTTTTGAAGTGACAACAATCATAGCATTTTTTATTGATATAATTATTGATTTTATCACCGTTCATTTCTATCTTAATATATTAAGGCACTATTTCTTTAAGTCATTTTTAAGGCATTAAGAAAAATAAGAAACAAACCATAAGTTCAATATAATTATAACATATAAGATTTTACATGTTATTATTATAGTATGGTTTTAATCAAAGTCATTAGTATTTAAATATTCCTTTGTAATCTTTGGTATTTGTTTAAAGTTCTGTTTATTATTTTTAAATGGATATTTTCTATCAGCAAAATCATAAATGCAAAAACCTATGCTCCAGTTTCCTAAAACACTTTTAATATCATTTATCACATCACCATACATTAATTTACCTATTATATTGTTCTTCTGTTCATCCTTAATATAATCACATATTTTATCAATTATGATTTTCAATTCTTGGTTTCTTTGTTTTATGTAGTTTAAAAATGTTTCCTTGCAATCATTTTCAATTTTATTATTTGATAAATCATACTCATCAATAAATTTAAATATCATTTTATTATTAAATTCTTCAATTGGTCTTGTTGTTCCAGTTTTGCCACCATAACTAACTTCATATGATTTTTCGTAGTAATATTTAATATCATTATAAAATTTTAAAATATATGTTTCGTTATCTTGCAGTATATATTTTTTCACTTTTTCATATGTAGGAAATGTATTTAACTTTATAAAACAATATGTTCTTAATGATGAGTCATCATTTAGAAATGTATTTTCTTCAAATTTCAATTTGTATTTATCATAAATACATTGTCTCAATGTTGAATGTAAATTACTTTTATGTAAAACTTGCTTTGCATTTCTTAATAAAAAACATTTCTCGCATTCAACATAATTAAAATCACAAATGTTTTTAACAATTGGATTAGGTAAATTTAACTTAGTTAGTCCAGTTTTTTCATTTATTAGTTTACATTTACAACTACTGATAATGTCATTAACTTTTATTTTATTCAAAAAGTCATTAATAATTTCTTCTTGCTCTTTTTTAGTAAATTCAACCATTTCTATTATAATATATTAAGTCAATATTTCTTTAAGTCGTTTTCAAAGAATTTATTTTATAATGGCCGTAAGCAAGTGAGTTTATATTATTATCCAATATTTTTTGTTTTCATAACTACTAAGAGCAATTTTTTTAGTTGTTATACTAAAAATTCTGTGGTTTTTACTTCTAATACTATTAAATGACTTATGTATAACCTCATTAGTTTTTAAAACCGTCTCAAACTCTTCATATTTCATTTGACGTCTTACTGTGCCTTTTGCTATGCCCTTACATTTCTTATATTTTTTATCATCACCATAAACTGAGTAAGCATAGCATTTAGGACGAAGAGCTATAAACCCTGTTATTATTTTACTTTTTAATTCATCCTTAAATTTACCTAATACTTTCTTGTTATTATCATCATAACATTTATGTTCCTTAGGATAATCTGAAAAATCTAATTCTTTTTTAATTGTATTCAGGTCTTCATAAATGTCATTGGTTTTAGTATGAAATACAAAACTATCAGTATCAGTATATACCATTTTAATATTATCTCCATATTTAGGCTTCATAACGTCATAATAAAATTTATACATGTGTTGCTTACTCAAATCTAAAATACTCATCCCAATAAATATAGGTTTGTCTAGTTTCAACTTTGTTTTTTGCTTTTCAACTCCAACCAAATTTTCATTAATGATATGACTATGTTTGAAGTTAGGATTACTTACACACTTCATATATCTAGTTTCATCACTCACAACTTCAAAGTCTAAATGTTTTCGCTTATCCTCCATTGTTTTTCCAAATATGGCATTGTTCATCAATTTGTAAACATCTTTCTCAAAATCATTTCTAGCATTCTTCCTCTTCTCAGTGTTAAACTCAATGTAAGGTTTTAAAACTTCTTTTTGTTCAAATTTAATTGCTCTATGAATTTTCTTAAGTTTTAACCCTTGCTTCAAATAAAATTGTAAGGTTCTTATATGGATTACATATTTTTCTTTATCATTTAAATTCAATACTAATTTATTTGTTTTCTCATCCGTAGGTTTTTTATGATTTAAAAATTCATAAATTTCAATTTGTTTATCTGACAGCATGTTGGCTTTAACATTCATAACCTCAGGTGCCATTGGATAGTCATTGTGTAAATCGTGTAATTCTTTAGGATATTCTAAATCCACTTCTAGAATATATCCAATATTATTATTCTTATAATTAATAATGTCTTCTTCTTTTAATGTATCATCCCATTTTAGATTTTTATATGGCAGTTTTTGTATCATGCTTAACCCGTACAAATTATTAGCATCAAAATAGTTAATATAACTACTTTCTTTATTTTTATCATATTCTTCTCCCATGTATTTATTATTTGCTTCAACTTTTTTAGTAGAAACCATACACATCCCGCCTCTAAGTCCCGCTTCTATCATTTCATACATTTCTTGGTCATATATTAAATCAATCTCTACACCAGTCATTTTAAGCATAGCATCAAAAGCAAAGTTAGGCAATGTATAATAATAAGCAGGGTCCAATCCATAATATTTCATACATACATCTCTAAAATTTTCGAAAATGTCAGTCAATAATAATACATCAGTTTTCAAATATAAATCATGGTATTCACCCATATTCTTAATGTCGAAATGCTTCCATATAATTTTTGCCCTTTCATAGTCGTTAACACTTATACCTTCTTCACTCAACTGACTATAAAAATCATCCTTACTCGGTAATTGCTCATCATCAAATTTATCAAATGAATTCATGTAGTCATAAGGATAAACACCTTTATCAGTCAACAAATCTAGACATTTCTCACTCTTAATAACATCATTTTTACTACTAAACCTAAAATTATCTTTCCAGTTTTCACGCAATAACCATTTACTTTTATCTTCTTCATCTGTATTATCATACTTACTCATTGAAACTAACTTATCTAATGAAGCAGTTAAAAACCCAAAAGTGTCTTTAACACTCAAACTTTCAAAACTGATATTAATAAATTTTTCACTGTTCTGAGCGATGACACCTATTTTACTGTTGTTACTTAATTTATCAGCATTTTGAATAATTAAATGACCGTCATAATTTTTCATGTTATGAAAGAATACTGGAATTTTAAAATATCTATTACAAAAATTAAGATTGCAAACATTATGAGCACAACCTCTATACTTACCTGTAAAATGACAATGGTCTCTAACTTTTCTATATTTCTCTGCTTCCTTGGCATTCTTATAGTTCATTCTAAACTTATCCCCACAAATAAAGCAGTTTTTAGCATTTTTAAAATCTTCTTTGTCTTCGTCAGTCATGTCTATTTTTTCGTTTTCTCCCATCTTCTCCTTTACTTCTGCCCTAATGTCATTAAGTTTTTGACAAAACACATCAACAGCATCTTTACCACGATACATAAATTCATAATTTGTATTATCAACAGCATTAACCATATTAAGCATAAAACCACATGGTTTATGCTCTTGATAAGAAAAAGTGTTTTTATCTTCATCTTCATCAGGTTTTTTCAGTTCCTCTGTCAAACATTCAAAATCAGCATATACAACAAAAGGACATCTTAACTTTTTGAAGTGATGCTTAAAACTAACTTTCTCATAAGGCTTAGGCATTACTATTTGTTGACCATCAACTTCCATGCATCCACTATCATAATGTTTATTTAATAATTCTTCATTTCCAAATCCATGATTACAATATTTACAAAAATAGGACTTACCATGATGATTACTTTTTTGATTATTAATAAGTCTGCTCAAACTTTTTATATAGGTATAATGACTGCAATCCTCATCATCAACTCTTAACAAATCAAAATG